GGGGCCTCTTGCGTCGTCCTGGGGCGTTCTTGGGGGACTCTTGCGCCGTCCTGGAGCGTCGGAAGCCGAGAAAAGCGAGAAGGCCAAAAACTTCGAAAACAAATGAGAAGCAATGATTTTGGCCTCTTGGGGCCCTCTTGGGAGGCCTCTTGGAAGCCTCTTCGGGCGTCTTGGCGGCATCTTGGGCCGTCTGAAGGCAATCTTCACCGTCTTCGAGCGATTTTTCGGCAACTCAGAGCTTCTTGGGAGCCTCTTGGCTCGTTTTGGGCCCCCCAGCAGACTTTCTGGAACGGACGACCCCCCCCCGGCCCGCGCCGGGGAAGCTCGGACCGGCCGGCCGGGGCCCCCCCCCCCCCCCCCTTCCAAATCGACCGGACCAGGCTCCCGGGGGAGGGGTTTGGGGAGGGGGAAGAATCTCACACGCCGATGATCCCCAAAGGGTCGGCGGATTTGTCGCCGTTTCCCCCCCTCCCTCCTCTTCTTCCCCATCCTCCTTCCCCCCCTCCGCGGCGTCCGCAAGGGCAGTCGCGAGGTGCGGCCAGCCAGATCTGAAGCTTCCCAATGCTTTGCCCGTCACGCGCGCTACCGCCTTTCTTTCCGCATCGGGTGCCAGACCGGTGGCCGGCCCTTGCAGGCAGAAGCGCGCAGGCCCGCGGCCGCCGCACGTAGTCGGGGGGCCTTGAGGGCATTTGTTGCAACGCGCGCGCGCGCGTGCAGACACGCAAAGACACATATACACAGACGCAGAGACGCAAGCACACGCGCACAGACGGACGTACGCAGACGGACACGGACACACAGATACAGACACACCTGCACGAAAACGATTGCGAATCGCCAAGCGCCACGTGCGACAGGTGCGCCAGCGGCCGCGCGCCTATGCCAAGGGCGCTGATGGCGCCCGTCGCGCCAGTGTCTGTCGTGCAGGTCGCTGTGGTGCTGGTCGCGCTGGTGCCGCTGGTCGCGCCGCTCGCGCCGGTGCCGCCGGTTGCGCCGCGGTCGCTCTGGTCGCGCCGGTGGCGCCGGCAGCGCTGGTGGCGCTGGTCGCGCCGGTCGCGCCGGTCGCGCTTGTCGTGCCGGTGACGCCAGTGGCGCCCGTGCCGGTCGCGCTGGTCGCGCCGGTCGTCGTGGTCGCGCAATTCGTGCCGGTGGCTCCAGTGGCGCCTTGTCGCTGGTGCTGGTCGCGCCGGTCGCTCCGGTGCCGGTCGCGCTGCTCGTGCCGGTGGCGCCCGTGGCACCAGTCGCGCCTGTCGTGCCGGTGCCAGTCGTGACAGTCGCGGCGGTCGCGCTTTGTTGCTGGTGCCGGTCGCGCCGGTCGCGCCAGCCGTCTCCAGATCCACGTTTTATGCCAAAATGGGCCCGCAACCTGGGTAAAATCAGTGCATTTGGCGTTCTCGCCAAGGCCATTTTTGGACGCTCTGACACCTCGGGGGCCGCCCCGTCCAGGTCCAGGGCGGGGGGAAGGGGCAGGGGTCAGGACACCCTCCCCGCCCGCGAGCCGTTTCGCTAACCCCCACCCGTTTTCCAAACACAAGTAACACCCGAGCCGCAGCGTATTCAGCGGTAGTCTTTGGATGGGCATGCTATTGGGAAGCAAAACGTACCCCATGTGCGTATCGATGGGGCGAGGTGCGCCATGCGTGCAAAGCGGACCACGTGCGCCAGGTGCGCCAGGCACCCCTGTGGCACCATCGTGCCGGGCACGCTTGGTGCGCTAGATGCACCACGTGATCCGTGTGCGCCATGTGTGCCGCATGCTCCAGCCGCGCCATGTGCGCCACGTTCGGGGCACGCGCAGAGTGTGCCAGGTGCGCCTGCGCACGTGGCAGTACACATCGGGAAACGTGTGGGTCCCCACCACCCTTAGTGCGCAATCGCGGCGGGGTGTCCCTCATAGCGTCTGGTGGGCTTGCACATAGCAGGCGATTTTCCAGCACCCTCGCCGTCCCAGTCAAAAACCAATGCTCGGTGATCGAGGGGTGCCCGCGCATGATGCAGATTTTGCCTCGCAGTGCATTCTGTATGGCTTTTGGTCAAGGATACTGGCTCTGCGCACAGCGCCCCCCCAATCATGACCAAGATTTTGCCCCAAAGTGGACTTCGCACTGTTTTTGACAGGGATTGTGTCGGGGGTGCCCTGGATGCGGAAGGGTGTGCTTACTAATAGGGAACGGTGATCAACCCTTCCCCGAAGGGGGGTTGGAAGAGTAAACGCTTTGAACCACTCACGCCCAAAAGGCTTGGCGGGGCTTGCTGTTTCTGAATCTGGCCATTTCAAAACTCCAGCCAAGATGTCAGCATGCTGGGAATGCCTGGGCATAGTGTGTGATCGTCTATCGAGCTGTGCCGCCGCATGTGTCTGCCACCACGCCTGCCAGGGAGACACCTGAAACGCTACGCAGACGATGCCGTACACGGACTGGTCGCGCAGGTATTCTCGCGGGTAGCGATGTGCTCCAGGCAGCCGCGCGCTGCAGCTGCGGCGGCGTGAGGGGCCGTCCCTCCCCCCGCAGGTGCGCACGGGGGTGGTCCCTCCCCGTCCCGTCCCCTCCCCTCCTTCTCCTTGCCCCCTCTGGCACTCGTTCGTCCTATAGGCGTGGTCCCAATCTTTGCTCTGGTCAGGGGCCACCTCGCCAGCGTCGCACCAGGACCGCCCCTGCCGCCTGTCTTGCTGCTTCGCCGTGCACACCTGCCCTGCCTCGTGCTGTTCACTGTGCTTGCCTCCTTGGTGCCCGCGCAAAACTATTTGGTCTAGGGGGCGGGCGCTATACTACCCACTGTTAGCCCCTAAACGGCCACTGCCAACCCGCTGGGGCCCCACTGCCAACCGCCCAGGCCCCCTGCTGCCAACCCGAAGGGGTGCCCACTGCCAACTCGTTGGGGCCTTCACTGCCAACCGCCCGGGCCACTGCTGCCAACTTGAGGGGGGCCCGACTGCCAACTCGCCAGAGGTTCACTGCCAACCCGACGGGTGCCCACTGCCAACCCGAGGGGGGCCCGACTGCCAACCCGCCGTGGCTCCACTGCCAACTCGAGGTGGGGTCCACTGCCAACCCAAGAGTTGGCAGTGGGTACCGCAGTGGGACGGCAGTGCGTTGGCAGGAAAAAAAAAAATGGGTTGGCAGGAAGCTGGCAGTTGGTTGGCAGTGGGTTGGATAGTGTGTTAACAGTGGGTCGGCAGTTCGGGTGGCAGTAAAAATCCGATTTGCCCCCCATCCGTGCGACCCCTATCGCATTTGCTAGCTTTCAGAGCCTCGTTGGCCCACCATCGTTCCGCTGCCGATCCCACTGCCAAGCCCACTGCCAACCTGACGGGGGTTCACTGCCAACCCGACGGTGGCAGAGGGACCGGCAGTGGGTTTGCAATGGGTTGGCATTCGGTTGGAAGTGGGTTGGCAGTGGGTTGGCAGTGGGTTGACAGTGAATTGGCAGTTGGTTGGCAGTGGGGCTGGCAGTGGGGGCCCCGGCCGTTGGCAGTGTTCTCCCTTCGGGTTGACACTGGGGACCCCGGCGGGTTGACAGCAGGGGCCCCCTCGGGTTGGCAGCGGACCCCTCTCCCGTTGGCAGCGCGGTCCTCCGGAGCCGATATTGGAGCGCAGTTTGCAATGGGGCTTCGGAGCACCTTTACTCATTGAAAACAGGGTTCCCGCCGCATCTCTGGCTTCAATTCTGCCCCACCAGGGACCTCGAAGTGTCTCTGGTCATTCAAGGTGGTGGTGCCGCCGCAGCGCTGGCCCCATTTCAGGATCGCCGTTGTGCTCCCCTCGTTCAGAGTGGCGCCCTCGCTCCAGCGGGCCCCACTTCTGGACCCGATTCCCTCCGCGTCGTTGCCTTCCCCCCTTCTGCCCCCTCCTCCGCCTGCTCCCCGCCCTCCTCCTCCTTTCCCGTCGTCCTCCTCTTCCTTCTACTTTTCCTCCTGCTCATCCGCCACCTCCTCAGCGCCTCCTCCTCGTCCTCCTCCTCCTCCTCCTCCTCCTCCTCCTGTGCGCAAAGCTCCCCTTTTCGTGCGCATCGCACGATTGATCCACGATTGGGTCGTTTGGAAGATCAAGGTCCTCTAGGACACCCCAGTCGCAGGATAGAAAACCATCAGCGCAATGGGAAGGGATGGGTGGAAGGGGTATAATGTCAGCTATGGCGCGAGCGCAGCGCGCCTAGCTTGACCTGCGCCTCCTCTTAACCACTCTCTCTCTCTCTCTCTTTGTTCCTCTCTCTCTCTCTCTTTTGTTCTCTCTCTCTCTCTCTCTCTTTCCCTCTTTCTTTGATTCCGTCCAGAAGATAGTCGTCCATCTCCGCGTATGGTTTTACTCGCACAGGATTTCATTTTCCCACTGTTTTTTTTGGGGTGGGCATTCTGCTTGTCTTCGGTGATTCGGGAGGGTGCTCCCGCTGCAGCGTGGGCCGCATTCTGGGATCGGCGCTTTGCTCCCGTCGTTCAGAATGGCGCTCTCGCCCCAGCGCGGGCTACTTTTCTGGATCCGAGACCGTTTTCATCGTCGTCGCCCCCTCATGTCCCCTCATCCGCCCTCCCCTGGTCTCCTGCTCCTCCCGTCCCTTCCGCTCTGGCTTCTGTTGCTGCTGTTCGTTTTCCTCCTGCTCGTCCTGCTGCTCATCCGCCACCTCCTCGAGTGTACGTTGCTCCCTTTTTGTTCCGATTGCGCATAAGACGATGGGATCCTGTTTGGAGTTCCAGGTCCGCTATGGAGCCGCTATGACACGCGTCGGTGGATTCAACAACACATCAGCGCAGTGGGACGTGACGGGTGGGATGGGCATGGTGACAGATATGGCGCGAGCGCACCTGGCTTGCCCTCTCCCTCTCTCTCTCTCTCTTTCAGTCTCTCTCTCTCGTTCTCTGGCGTTCTTTTATGATCCATCATGCCTTCACAGCAGACGTAGTGGTAAGCACTTGCCTGGATCAACAACAGGCCCTCCCGGGCAAAGTAGTGAGGCAAGATGAGCGAGGGTCAGCAGTTGGCAGGGAGGGGCAGGGGCTTGAGGCTTCTGCTATTACATGTACAACGAGCTCGCATTTCTGGCTCTCGGCAAGCTGGACCCCATATCCCACGCAGTGGTGAACACAATGAGGAGCACCGTTCGTTTACGCTGCTCACGCTGCTCCTCCGCCTCTGTTCTGCCGCGTTGTCCAACTGGCAATAGGCGTTGTCGTTTGTCCCAGATGGGATTACTTTAGATGTGACGATGCAGAGGCCGATTGTTATGATATCGAAGGCTTTGATCGTATGAGACGGATGATCGGGCTACCCGCCTTCTCCGTACTGAGTGTTATTTGCGATTCTAGATTGATTCTTCGCATCAGCGTGCTTTTGCGGGTCATGCTTTATCGCGTTAGTGTGCGCCAGCAGGGCGTCGCAGCTTGCTGCCCGAGTGACGATATCGGTCAGTCAATCGGTTTGCGAATGGGAGAGTAGGTACGGGTCAGGGTCGTGACATCCTCCAACTCTCCAAAATCGCACCAGGCGAGTGGTCATCATTGTAGCCGCGATCGTTGTCTTCAACACGAAGATTACACTATTGGGCGGCGTTGGCAGCTGTATCGCGATTGCTGGTACACTCATCTACTCTTTGACCAAGAGCAGGTTCAAATAACGATGAACACCTTTCGGCAAGAAGATGTGGGCCTCCTGGTGCACGCAATTCATGTCGCGTAATTCGCGTGACGGCTTAGGCGCGCATCCTTCTCAACGGAGAGGGCTGGTGCATCCGCGGACTTCTGTGTGGTCCGTGTGCGCACTCGGTTTTACGCATCAGTCGTTGCAATACTCGTCGCGCGTCCTCTCCTCCACAATCAAGAGCAAACAGCAGCGCAAGGCAATCCCTGGCGGTGCCGTCCCTGGAACCTAGTGAGCCATAGTGGACCAAGTCCTGCAACAGTAGATTTGCCGATCCTATTGTCCTTCGGGTGAGGAAGCTGTGCACTTTATCATTTGAGAGAGTTGTGTGGTGAACTCACGTCATCCTAACATCCTGATCTCCAGCGCCCCAATCGCCTCCTTCTCGTGGGGACCAGAAGCGGTGAATCACCAGCTGCACCGGGCGCTTTGTGATAATCTGGCACTGGCGGTTTCGAGCGGGTGGTGCTTGAAAGAATCGGCCCTTAGACCCCACCCAAGAAGTGAGGGAGGGGGGTAAAGGCGAAAGGGCAGACTGAGAAGAGGGGAGGGGACGCGGGGGCAGGGTGGACAGGAGGAGGAGGAGAAGGAGGAGGAGGAGGAGGAGGAGGAGGAGGGCAGGGAGAGAGAGAGAGAGAGAGTACAAGAGAGGGGGGGAAGAGAGGGGTGATGATGAGGAGGTAGAGTTGGAGGATGATGACCAGTATTAACCCAAGACTCATCAACGATTTTGGATTGAACCATCCCTAGTTCCCTCTTCATAGGCCCCTACATGGGTTCATTTCCACCGAGAGAAGTGCCCCGTTGGGGGGCAACCGTGTGAAAATCCTGAGCATGCCAAAACACCGTTCTCAGGACTTCAACGCCACAAATCAACCTGACAGTCGCGTCTTCACGATCCTGAATCGTACTAGAACACCGTTCCTTGGACTTGAACACCGCGAATCAACGTAAGTGTTGAGCTCTGACAATCATACATCGTTCCAACACGCCATTCCTGGGACGTTACCCATGGTAACCAGTGAAATTTTCACAATGGTTCAAAACGAATGTGCGCAGCGCTAAGGCGAGAGCCACATTTTGGAAAAGGAATCGCCCTCAATCCGTGAAGCTCTTGCAGTTTTTGAAACGCATGTTCGCGGCGCTGAGGCGAGAGCCACCTTTTGAATACGACCCGCCCTCAGTCCGTGAAGCTCCTGTACATGATTAAAGCGAATGTGCGCGGCGCTGTAGCGAGAACCACATTTTGAAACCCGCCCGCCCTCAATCCGGGAATCTCTTGTAGTTTTTTACAGCGAGTGTGCGCGGCGCCGAGGCGGTAGCCACATTTTTGGGGAGTGGCCCGTCCTCCATTTGTGAAAGTGTTGCCAGTGTTTGAGCTTCAGGCTCACAAGTGGTAAGGAAGTCTCGGGAGAAACGCCAGGCCCAGCCTTCCGACTGGCCTCGGGGTGCGACGGGGAGGAGTTGTTCATAAGGAACAAGCATTTAGGTTGACGTCGGACGTGTCCCTCCACATGGAGAGTATTCAAAAATTGTCAACAAATAGTCGGGGGACGATTTTTCGAGAATTGTTTGATATTTCTGAGCATTTTTGTGGTATTTTCAATTTTTCGCCCAAAGCCCGCCTGTAGGGAGACACGCCCGACCTAAATTCTAGACGCTTCGCGTATCCCCACCAGCCCGTCCAGAAACGACACCCAGGCGAGTAGAGGGTCGTCCTGAGGAGCTTTTCGGCGTCTTGGGTGCCTCGGGGGGGCCTCTGTGGGCCGTTCGGGATCCTCTTTGGGGCCTCCTGGGGGCCTCTTGGGGCCTCTTGGGGCCATCTTGGGGCCTTTGGGGGCCTCCTGGGCGCTTCTTGGGGCCTCCTGGGCGCTTCTTGGGTGCCTCTGGGGGGTCTCTTGGGGCCTCTTGGGGGTCTCTTGGGGGCCTCCTGGGGGCCTCTTGGGGGGCCTCTTGGGGCCATCTTGGGGCCATCCTGCGGCCTCTTGGGGCATCCTGGGGGCCTCTTGCGGCCATCGTGGAGGAAATCGATCAAAGAAGAGGGGAGCTTTAATTAGCGCTGCCCCCTCAGAAGGCCAACATGGGGCCAAAACCATAGTAAAATCAATGATTTTGGCTTCCTCGCCGAGGCCGTTTTGGACGCTCTGACCGCTCGCGGCCCCCCCCGTCCAGGTCAGTGGGGAGGGGGTAGGGGGAGGGGTAAACCCCTCCCCGAAGGGGAAGAGGGAGGGGTGGAAGAGGAAACGCCCTAAACCACCGACGCCCAGAGGGCTGGTGGGATTTAGGTGGATGGGGGGGCACTGGCGAGCCGTTGCGGTGAGGCTCCGACCTCTTCCCCATCTCTCTCCTGCTTGCCCCCCCCCGCGGACCGTTTCGATGACGTTGCTGCACTGGTGCTGCTCCCCGTCGTCCTTCCGCTGCGCATCTCGAGCAGCATCTGCAATCGTGCGCAATGGTGTTCTTACCTGTGACTTTGCTTAGGTATTTATTTACGCGTGGTGATGTGTATGGAACCTGCCCATGTCCGTGAGTTGATGTGGCCCTGGTCCAGCGTACACTACATCCCAAGGTATGTATCTATACGTATATGAGGCCGGTTTACAAGTCCCAATCAACGTCTTTTTGGGGCTATAGGGCTATATGGCTATGGGGCTGTTGGGCTGTAGGGCGATATGGGCTATGGGGCTATTGGGCTATGGGGCTATAGGGCTATAGAACCAAAGGGCTATATGTATTTGGGCTATGGGGCTATAGGGCTACATGACCATAGAGCTATACGGCTGTAGGGCTGTAGGGCTATGGGGCTATAGGGCTCTGGGACTATGGGGCTGTAGGGCTACAGGGCCGTAGGGCTATGAGTCTATAGGGCGATGAGGCTATAGGGCTATAGGACCATAGGGCTATAGGGCTATAGGGATACAGGGCTATGGGGGTATCGGGCTATCGGACTATAGACATATAAAGCTGTCGGGCTATAGGGCTGTAGGGCAATAAGACCATAGAGCTATAGATATATAGGGCTATGGGGCCATAGGGCTATAGGACCAGAAGGGCTGAAGGGCTGTAGGGCTATTGGGCTACAGGGCTATAGGGCAATGGGGCTACAGGGCTATTTGGCTATAGGGCTATGGAGCTATAGGGCTGCAGGGCTATAGGGTTATAGAGCTATAGGACTCTAAGGCGATGGGGCTATAGGGCTATAGGGCTACGGGGCTACAGGGCTTTTTGGCTATAGGGCTATAGGGCTATTGGGCTTTTGAGCTATAGGGCTATAGGGCTATAGGGCTATAGGGCTACAAGGCTATAGGGCTATATGGCTATAGGACTGTAAGGGCTACAGGGCTATAGGGCTATATGGCTATAGGGCTGTAAGGTACCCCCCGGGCTCCGAGGCACCCGGGCGGGCTGCGGAAATCGGTGACAAATCTCCTCGAACCTTTTGAATCCGCTAGGACCCCTACAGATGCAAGCTCTGATTGGGGAGTATATGTATACGTATTTGTATATGTATATGTATATGTGGATGTGTATGTATACGCGAACGTATGTTTATATGTACATGTATATATTGTGTATACTTATAGGTATATGGCTATGTATATGTATATGTATATGATACAGGAGAAAAGACCCGTTCAAAGTCCTTTTAGGGCTATAGGGCTATAGGGCTATGGGGCGATGGGGCTATGGGGCTGTAGGGCTATGGAAGTACAGAGCTATACGGCCCTATGGCTATAGGTCTATTAGGCTATAGGGCTATAGGGCTATAGGGCCATATGGCCATAGGGCTGTAGGGCTATAGGGCTATGGGGCTATGGGGCTCTGGGGCTATGGGGCTGTAGGGCTATAGGGCCATGGGGCTATGAGTCTATAGGGCTATGGGGCTATAGGGCTATAGGACCATAGGGGTATATGGCTATATTGTTATAGGGCTATGGGGCTGTAGGGCTATAGGGCTGTAGGCATACATGGAGCTCCCTATACGACCACCCTTCGGGTGATCAGGAGGGGGGGAGAGTTGGCAGAACCAACATCTGACTCAATCGATCTCATCATCGACCTCACTCAACGGGACACCACGGGCCAATACGTGTCGATCTCACTATCGGTCTCACTATCGATCTCACTCAGCGGGACACCACGGGACACCACGGGCCACCACGGGAAACCACGAGACACCGCGGGACACCTCTCGATCTCACTATCGGTCTCACTATCGATCTCACTATCGATCTCACTCAACGGGGCACCACGGGACACCACGGGACACCACGGGACACCTGTCGATCTCACTATCGGTCTCACTATCGATCTCACTTTTTGGGACACCTCGGGACACTACAGGACACCTCGGGGCACCACCTCGATCTCAGTATCGATCTCACTATCGATCTCACTATTGTTCTCACTCAATGGGACACCACGGGACACCACGGGCCAATACGGGACACCACGGGATACAACGGGACATTTGTCGATTTCACTATCGATCATTATCGATCTCACTCAACGGGATACCACGGGACACCACGGGCCACCACGGGACACCATGGGGCACCGCTAGGGCCACCGCCGGACGGAGGAGAATCATTTGTCTTGACTTCGCCCTAGCAACGGCGGACACCACGGGACACCGCTGGACACCACGGGAAACTGCTAGGGCCACAGCCGGACGGAGGAGAATCATTTGTCTTGACTTCGCCCGAGCAACGGCGGACACCACGGGACACCACGGGACACCGCCGGACACCGCGGGACACCGATAGGGCCACCGCTGGACGGACAGAGGAGAATCATTTGTGTTGACTTTGCCCTAGCAGTGGCGGGTTCATTCCTCTCGCGCGCCCACGGAGCTTCGCCTCGCCCGCACGCACGACACGAACGAAACGAAACGATTTCCCGATTGGGGGTCTCCGTTCCACTGCGATCTCACCCCCCAATCTTTGATAGGGCTATAGTGCTATAGGGCTATGAGGCTATACGACTATCTAGCTGTAGGGCTATGGGGCTATAGGGCCATCAGGCTATCAGGCTATAGGGCTATCGGGCTATAGGGCTATAGGGCTATAGGGCTGTTGGGCTATAGGGCTATAGGGCTATAGAGCTATAGGGATATTTGGTTATGGGGCTATGAGGCTATAGGGCTATAGGGCTATGAGGCACCTGGGCACCCGGGCACCTGGGCACAACAC